ATTTTCATTATTATATGCAATGTTAATAACTTTATGTACATTTTTTTTCGATTACAGACAAATTGCACCCGCCTATGCGAAGGTCAATGGCGGAACTGCCATTCCACTGCCCGCCACCGTGATGGTTCAACGTCGCTGTCCGCCGGACAAAGTGCGTCCACTGCCACCCACACCGAATCACACACCATGTAAGTAAAAACTTGGGGTGTGGGAAATTTATTAAAAAATATTTTAAGCCCTTAACCACCCCCTATGCTTTTCAAGGGAGTTGAGGGACCTCGACTTCCCCGTTATTTACCGGGAATAAACAAATTTCGAGCTCGGGGCACAACAAACAACCCCCAAAGCTAAAAAGCCGTGACTGCACTTAGCCCTTTCAAAGGCGTTCTCTTGGTGGGATTGTGACCGAGATTTTGGCATCGCAGGGGAGATCCTTACTCCGCAATCAAAGCACCCAGGGGACCCGTTTGGGGTTAGAATTCCATATTACCTACTCCTTTTTCCGTCAAGGTGATGTTGATTTGTGGAAAAGGTAACTGAATTCTTCAATTAATTAGGAGTGTACTTCAAAAAACAAATGTGTACAACACTCTTTACTTTATACTGAATGCTTATAGAGATACCAACTTTTGTATTTGCTTATTATACAAACCAAGTAAATTTTCGAGCCAGAGTTAAAAATAATTATTTATATTCAGTAATACTTATTCATTCATTATAAATAAAGAATTATTAGCATTGATCTTATAAACAACAGTATACAGTTTGTCATGCATTTGTGACCCAATTTGTAAAAGAGTGCCCTGCACAAAACGCTTTCTTGTTCTTAAATCACTGTTTTGGGCCTATTTATAGATCATTTTCACTCCCCCTAATGATTTAAACAGCAAATATTCGACTGGTCTCTGGGCAATCATAAATCTCGGAGCACAGACTCCTCCCAATCTGTTATCAGCCTCACGCAACGCAATTAATTAACTTTAACGTCCGCATTGCCCTTTAGCGTTGATTTATAGTATAGGTTGACTCTTTCTGTTAAGTGGGCGCCGAAATTCATGAAATCGAGTGGGTTAGCAGTACCTTAAAACACTCTTTAACCCCCGATGTGTTCTTGTTTTCAGCGATACCGGGCCTGGGAAAGAGCGGAAGTGATTTCAATTCGAGCCGTCCAAACAGTCCGCCCACCAGCAATCACACAATCCAGAGCCTCAAGAGCGGTAACAATAACAGGTAAGTGAAACTGGAGGACCTTCAGAAATGATTGTATTTTGTATATACTCTAAACATTCAATCCGATATTGGATAATAATTGTTAGCTGTAGCTTTTATTTAGTATTCAATCCATGAGCATAACTTAAGTAAACTCATTGCTAGATGTTGGATCATACAAATGTGAAATCATATTTGTTAGCTTTCAAGAATACTTCATTGTTTTCAAAATATTTTACATAACTCATAATTCAGTTTAAACTTTATTCAATTTAATTCTTCTATTCTTGACAAAAATATGTCGTTATATAAGCTAGAGGACTTCGTGAATGGTTCATAGGCGTTTTGATTTCATTCATGCAGACCTCTACGACAACCAAAAACTTGTGGTTTTGTTTACATTATCTTAAGAGATAATAAATATTAGTTGTTTTATATATTTTCTCATATTTATTTTAAATATACAAAATATTTGGAGATTTTTTTTAAATACATTCTACCCATTTGTTAGAATTTATTCTTAAATATTTTTTAATCCTTTCAGCCTCCGACCGCCGAGTGTTAAGAGTGGCCACCAGAGCGGCATTCCGTCGCCGAGCAGTCCGCAGACCGCTCCGCAGACGCAGAAGCACTCGATGCTGGACAAGCTGAAGCTATTCAACAAGGAAAAGCAGCAGAATGCGGTGAACGCGGCCTCGGTGGCCAGCAAATCGCAGATCCAGTCAAAGCGGACCTCATCCTCCTCGGGTTTCAGTTCCGCCCGCTCGGAGCGCTCCGATTCCAGCCTGAGTCTGAATGACGGCCATGGCTCACAGCTGAAGCCACCCAGTATTAGTGTGAGTTCCCAGAAGCCACAGCCCAAGACGAAGCAGTCAAAGCTCCTGGCTGCCCAGCAGAAGAAGGACCAGACCAACAAGGCCACCAAGCTGGACAAGAAGGAGAAGAGTCCGGCGAGGTCCTTGCACAAGGAGGAGTCGGGCAATGAGTCCCGCAGTTCAACAATGGGCAGAACAGGCAAGTCTTCGCTGGCTCGAGGAGTTGGGGGTGTTGAGAAGAATACCCCCAAGACGGCCTCCAAGTCCTCGCTGCACTCCAAGTCGGATTCCAAGAGCTCCTTGAAGGCCCCCCAGCTACTGCAGAGTCCCAGTGGCGGTGGTCTACCCAAGCCCATTGCTGCCATAAAGGGCACAAGTAAATTACCCTCCTTGGGTGGAGGAACTGGCCATCCTCCAGCAGCAGAGCCCCAGCAAAATCAGCATCAACCGATGCTCAAACGCGAAACCAGCGACATATCCTCGAACATATCCCAACCGCCGGTGGTTGAGCCACCAGGCGGCACACATATCCATCAGAACGCACCACCTCCACCACCGTACTATGCGAATAGTCAGCCAACGGGTCACATATCATCGCACGGGTATCTGAGTGAGCCCAGTACTCCGCAGCACAGCTCGGGTATTGGAATCTACAGTCGCCTGCCGCCTCCAAAGTCCGCCCTGAGTGCCCCTCGAAAGTTGGAGTACAGTGCGGGACCACATATACTATCCTCACCACCACCGCACCAACAACGACAGCCGGGCTTGCCGCGACCCCTGGTCAACTCGGCCCCCAACACACCCACCTCGTCGCCAAACAAGTTCCACACAATCCCCTCCAAGATTGTGGGCACCATTTACGAGTCCAAGGAGGAGCAACTGCCGCCGCCACCACCATCCTCCGCTGGCGGTTCAATCCTGCCCATGAGACCCCTGCTCAGGGGCTACAACTCGCACGTGACTTTGCCCACTAGAGGAGCAAGGGGTGGCCACCACCCTCATCAGTCCTATCTGGACTTTTGCGAATCGGACATTGGTCAGGGATATTGCAGTGATGGCGATGCCCTTCGCGTGGGAAGCTCTAGCTCACCGGGTGGGTCGCGATTCCATGACATTGACAACGGATACCTCTCCGAGGGCAGCAGTGGTCTCAATGGACCCAGCTCATCCGGAGGAGGCATCTCACATGGAAAGCATTTCCTTAGCATGATGCGGGCACGCACCCAACTTCCTACAACCATCGAAGAACGGTGAGTACGAGGTTTATTTAATTCAGTTAAAATTAGTTTGGATCTTTGAGATTTCTAAAAAATATTTCACAATAAACTAGAGGGCCGTAAGAAATACGAAAAAATATAAGGTTAAAATAGGCTTACATTTTGAACCTCTGTTTGAGGGAAAGTTAAATAGTAAAATATTAGAGCATTCAACCACATACTCATAGAGGTAAGCCACTTCAAAATCGGGATCGAATAACTCAAGTTATGGAGTCTTGAATTGCAGTTTCGGGGGTCCCATTCTGAAAACCGTTGGAAATTCGGAAAAATGAAACATGAGAATACGCTAAAATTTGGACCCTCTCTTAAAGGAAAAGTTTTTCTGTGGAGTTTCAGAGAATTCAACCACAAACTCATAGAGGTATCCCACATTAAAATCGGACTACAATAACTAATGTTATGGAATCTAGAAGTGCAGTTTTGGGGTTCCATACTGGAAGCCGTTGAAAATACCGAAAATTCGAACATGAAAATGGGTTAAAATTTGGACCAACGCTTAAAAGTAATATTTTCACGTAGAATATTAGAGAATTCTTCCACAAACTCATAGAGGTATCCCACATTAAAATCGGACTACAATAACTAAAGTTATGGAATCTAGAAGTGCAGTTTTGGGGTCCCATACTGGAAGCCGTTGAAAATACCGAAAATTCGAACATAAAAATGGGTTAAAGTTTGGACCAACGCTTAGAACTAATATTTGAACGTAGAATATTAGACAATTCCTCCACAAACTCATAGAGGTATCTCTCATTAAAATGGGACTACAATAACTAAAGTTATGGAATCTAGAAGTGCAGTTTTGGGGTTCCATACTGGAAGCCGTTGAAAATACCGAAAATTCGAACATGAAAATGGGTTAAAATTTGGACCAACGCTTTAAAGTAATATTTTAACGTAGAATATTCAAGAACTCTTCCACAAACTTATAGAGGTATCCCACATTAAAATCGGACTGCCATAACTAAAGTTATCGAATCTAGAAGTGCAGTTTTGGGGTCCCATACTGGAAGCCGTTGAAAATACCGAAAATTCGAACATGAAAATGGGTTAAAGTTTGGACCAACGCTTAGAACTAATATTTGAACGTAGAATATTAGAGAATTCCTCCACAAACTCATAGAGGTATCCCTCATTAAAATCGGACTACAATAACTAAAGTTATGGAATTTAGAAGTGCAGTTTTGGGGTCCCATACTGGAAGCCGTTGGAATTACGGAAAATTCGAACATGAAAATGGGTTAAAATTTGGACCAATGCCTAAAAGTAATTTTTTAATGTAGAATATTAGAGAATTTCTCCACAAACTCATAGAGGTATCCCACATCAAAATCGGACTACAATAACTAAAGTTAAGGAATCTAGAAGTGCTGTTTTGGGGTTCCATACTGGAAGCCGTTGGAAATACCGAAAATTCGAACATGAAAATAGGTTAAAATTTGGACAAACGCTTAGAACTAATATGTTAACGTAGAATATTAGAGAATTCCTCCACAAATTCATAGAGGTATCCCACATCAAAATCGGACTACAATAACTAAAGTTATGGAATCTAGAAGTGCAGTTTTGGGGTTCCATACTGGAAGCCGCTGAAAGTACCGAAAATTCGAACATGAAAATAGGTTAAAATTTGGACCAACGCACTATGGGTAAAAAACCCGATTTTGGTGCATAAACCTATTTATTTTCTTAATTAATTTTTATGAATGGCCCATACTAATCGAATCTAGACATCTTCATTTCAAAAAAACCGCCCTCCAAAAATTTTTGGTGGCAACTCTGTAGTATTGCCACTCCAACAAAGTCAGCTATTCGAGAGGCTTTGCTATGTCGTTAAATTGGCGCGAAAAATTGGCGAACTTTACGTGCTTGTTGTTTTCTGTGAAAAAAAAGTTTAATAAATATGAAAATGGAAATTCCTTGCAAAGGTATTTATTAATGCAAATTAGCTTAAACATTTGATTTTATGTGTCTTGTTGTCCACCTGTGAACTGTTTTATATGTGTATCTTTATAGATTTGAACTTACAATTGTGTTTGTGTTTTGTGGAGTATAACTTATTAATAGCACAGACTTGCAAAAGAGTAAGAACGAGAAATTGATTACAAAAGTGTCCTTATTGTCATACAACTAATCGTTTTTGCTCATTTTTGCTCCTTTTCGCTAAACTTGCGTTTATGTAGAGACATATGTGTTTGGTCACGGGGCTCTTCTTGCAGTTTGGGAAAGCAACAAACGCTCGCGAGAAGCATTGGAGACTTACATATTCGACAAATTGAATGCCGATCATCAAAATGAAACAATAATAAAAACAATATCAACTAAAATTACTAACTTTATAAATTACATAAATAAACATTTGCCTCGATGCTGCCGAAACATAAAGCGATTTAGACAAAAACACGCTATGTGGCTAGCCGGTAATATGACTATACTTTCTGATAGAAATGAATCCCCACAGAAGAAAGGTGGTCGTCCAAAATTGTCATATGAAGCTGCTGGTAAACGACTCAAAATAAAGTTGGCATCTGAACTTGCGGTAGAAAATGAAAATTCAACTCCTTTGTTACTACACGCTGCTAACATTTCCGCCAGAAAATCAACAGAAAATGAAATTATTAAAAAAAGTGATAGAACTGAATCGCTGGCTCCGAGTCCAATAACTTCTGAAAAGGCATTCGCTTTTTTTATGGAAAATGGATTTACTAAGCAGCAATACATAAATGTAAAACAAATTAGTAAACAACATGGCTGCGATATTTACCCCCCTTATTCGAAAATAGCTGAGGAGAAATTAAAATGTAGACCTGCTGGAATAGCATGGACCGAAAATGAAGCCAAAGTTTCCTTGCAAAACTTATTGAACCATACCGCTTCACGAATATTACTGATGCAAAAGGAAGTTTGTGAAGTACTTTCAGATGTTACTCATTGTACTCTTATTTTTAGCTACGGTTTTGATGGGTCTACTGGTCACAGTTTATACAAACAAAAATTTAGCATCGCAGAGGGTCAATCTTTAGATGATTCTCTTTTTGTTACATCAATGACTCCTATAAAAATGATAGATCAGAAACAAAGGGTCATTTGGTTAAATAAATCGCCTCAGTCCATAAGATTTTGCCGTCCTGTGAAAATTGCTTACGTAAAAGAAACAACGTCTCTTATATTAAAAGAAAATGAAAACTTGGACAATCAGATTAAAAACCTGGATATATACGTGCATCCTTATCAATCAGCCGAAATTTTTGTAAAATTTGATGGGCACCTGACACTTATAGACGGCAAGGTGTTAAATATATTAACAGGAACGAAATCCTGTCAGTTGTGTCCAATGTGTGGGGCAAAGCCCACCCAGCTTCTTACTATTACTGATTTTAACTCCAAAACGTTTGATATGAAGCCACATACGGATCAATATGGATTAAGTTCCCTTCATGCGTGGATCCGCTTTTTTGAATTCTTGCTCAAAATATCGTACAGAATTGAGCTTAGAAAGTGGCATGTCAAGGGAAATGACAAAATCGAATTGGAGGCACGTAAACATAAAGTTCAAGCAGCGTTTTGGAATGATATGGGGCTTCATGTGGACAAGCCGAGACAAAACGGCAGTGGCAATACAAATGACGGAAATACGGCGAGGCGGGCATTCTCCAACCCAAAATTATTGTCCTCTATATTAGGAATAGATCACAGTTTGATTCAGCGCCTACATGTAATTCTGATCGCCATAAATTGTCATTACCCTATAAATTCGGAAAAATTCAAAATATTCTGTTCAGAAACTTTTTCTATGTATATGGCTAATTACTTTTGGTACCCCATGTCGCCAACAGTGCACAAAGTTTTAGTACATGGATACATAATCATTGAAAAATCGATTGTTCCTGTTGGCTCTTTAGCAGAAAGTGCATCAGAAGCAAGACACAAACTTTTTAAGGCTGACAGAAAAGATCATGCCAGAAAATGTAGCCGGGTTGACAATATGTCAGATGTTTTTCACAGAGCTATGGATTCGTCTGATCCCCTATTATCTAGTTTTTGCTCAACAAAAACCAACCGGATGCCTCTGCCAGCAGAGGTTGTAGATCTTTTGGATTCGCCAATCATATCCCCAGGCACAGAAGACACAGATGAAGAAAATTGTAACGATGATGTAAGTGACACTTTTGAAATAGAATTAGAGGAAGAGGTACCAGACGATATTGAAAACTAAAAAACAAGGAAAAAATAAAAAGAGTAAGTTAAAATTGTTGAGTTATTAAAAAAAATTAATCGAATTTTTTTTCAGTGTTCTTCAAATGTAACAATGGATCCCAAATATGTTACCGGTTTTTTTCTATAATGTAACACCAAATAGGATTAAAATTATAATTTATAATAATTACTTATTTTAAAATGTATTTTTAACCACTGTGCGGTGGACAAATTAAAAAAAAAAACAAAAACCAAAATTTTGTTTAAATTTAAATAATACACCAAAAAAAGTTTCAAGTCAATATCTTAAAAACTAGAGTTTATGCACCAAAAACGGTTTTTTTGCCCATAGTGCAACGCTTAGAACTAATATGTTAACGTAGAATATTAGAGAATTCCTCCACAAACTCATAGAGGTATCCCACATTAAAATCGGACTACAATAACTAAAGTTATGGAATCTAGAAGTGCAGTTTTGGGGTCCCATACTGGAAGCCGTTGGAAATACGGAAAATTCGAACATAAAAATGGGTTAAAATTTGGACCAACGCCTAAAAGTAATATTTTAATGTAGAATATTAGATAATTCCTCCACAAACTCATAGAGGTATCCCACATTAAAATCGGACTACAATAACTAAAATTATGGAATCTAGAAGTGCTGTTTTGGGGTTCCATACTGGAAGCCGTTGGAAATACGGAAAATTCGAACATGAAAATTGGTTAAAAATGGGACAAACGCTTAAAAGTAATGTTTTAATGTAGAACATTACAGAATCGCTCCACAAAATCAGAGAGGTATTCCACATCAAAATCGGATTGCAATAACTAAAGTTATGGAATCTAGAAGTGCAGTTTTAGGGTCCCATACTGAAAGCCGTTGGAAAACGGAAAATTCGAACACGAAAATGGGTTAAAAATTGGACCAACGCTTAAAAGAAATATTTTAATGTACAATATTAGAGAATTTCTCCACAAACTCATATAGGTATCCCACATTAAAATCGGGATGTAATAACTCAAGTAATTAAATGTATAAGTGCTGTTAACAATTTACGCTGAACAAAGATCTTCAAAAATGTGGGTGCCACAATCTTTAAAGATTTTTGGTCGTTATAGTGGATGTAGAAATTGGCTTATTGTTAAAATACTTATTCCAAACTTTCTTAAGACAACCATTTACTTTTCGAAGGTTGTTCGCTTACCTCCTCCCACACCAACCTCATTATAATGAGCCTTTATTGGCCATGGGGTTCTTTCGGCCAGCACTCACTTTCTCGCCAGTTTCCAAGTTTCCATGAGTCATCTGAAAGTGGCTTCCAATGGCAGTGTTGCCTCCCGCTGACACCAATGAGTCAACCAGAAATTGCCGTTGTTCGAGTATCGCCCGGTATCGCAGTTCTTTTCCAAGAAGATGAGCCCCGCATTTGCGTTTGGTAAATGTGGCGTGCTCGTAGCTGTTTTGACGCAATAAAGCGGAATTTAAATGGGAGAATTGCCTGGCATACTGCCTCTTTGACTTCAGGCCTCGGTGAACTTTGAATGGTTTTGGGTGACATTTCAGCGGGTTCCATTTCATTTGACACTTTTTTGCTCTGAGCGCCACGCACAATTTGGCCACACTTTCGGTGCCGGGGGCAAAAACTGGCAGTCAGTCGAGGGCCTCTCATCAGCCTGTGAAGCAGTTAATTGCGATGGCAGCCACTTGACTACCTTAACAACTTCCTGCAGGATACACAAGAGTATCCACTTCACAAAGGCCAGCCCCGATCCCCAGCTGAAATTTGCCAATTTGCATAAAATCCACTCGATGTCGGCTGCCTGGTCTCAGGACCGCACTCGTGCTGCGGCATGTCAAATGTCATTTACAAATTGTCAATGGCAGGCGACTTGACAATCGACAATGCTCACCTGTCAACAGGAAACGCTTCCCGCACAGGTATTGATTCATCGCACACCCAAAGAAAATCCCCATAGATACCCATCCATCCATGCAGCAATCCCACTTGAGCCTATTCGCCCAGGAAAATTGGGAATTCCTTTGAAAACCAAGGGTATTTCAAGATGATTGTGGGGTAGAGAAAAGTTAAAATGGTAAGATATTATTATAAGGTGGGTGAAACCAAATATTTTCGGTCTAGACACATTTTGGAGTTGATTTTTTTATTATTTTTACAGCACTTTACTTTTATTTGTTTGCAAACAAGGAAGAAATATCAATATTGGACTGAAGTTTTCCTAAATTTCGCTGATCAATTGGTCATTGCCTCCACTTTTAAAAACATATTTGGACGCAATAAAGTTGCACACACTTTAATTTTATTTTTCAAACATAAACATTATTTTAAATTCATGGATTCAGTTCAGAAATAATCGTATCTTTTCTACCGGATAACCGCTCAATTTCCAACAGCCTGGTTAATGATGCCCAAAAGTTCCAAAAATAGTCCCATAAAAAGCCAGACTCCTCTTTGAACAGGTTGACCAACTGTTGGCTTGTCTTGTCTATACGTTCTAACCAGGCTATCGAAATCTGATTTTTGCTGAGCTGTTAGTTGTAGGCGATTGGAATATTTCTCATAGAATGCAATTAAAGCGGGCATATTTTGGTATATAGTTAATTGATTGACCGAGGGATTGTTAAAGATTGCCACTATTTCACGGCCCTTGTTTTTGAATTCATCATCACTTTGGGCATTTCCATTCCCCAAAATGCATCCTAGAACAACCAGAAGGCAGCTGAAAACAGAAATATTTAAAACTTTTCCAGTATATTATTAGTATATTATTATTATTATAGCTTACCTAATACGCATTGTCGGAATTATGTAGACTCTTGATGAATGACTGTGAACGATTGGATTAATACTGATAGATTGCATATTCCTCAGCGCTGTATTTATAGGCAGCTTTAGAACTTTCTTTATCAGAACTTCTCATTATCTATGTTTATATAGCTCCTATCTTACCTTTATTCCTTATAAATACATTATTGTCTGTCATATTTTAATATAAACACAGTTATCAATTCTGCACTGGTACTTGAAGCTAAGAAAATTGCAATATTTGTTTTATTTTGTATAATAATAGACATGGCATATGATTCTGTGACCAATGAACTTTCATTCTCGTGTTTATTTGTTTTTATTAACCTGTTGTAAGTTTAAACATTTAAGACTTGCAGCAATTTTTTTATAGATTGAACATTTAGATAAAACATTTACCAGAGGTGACCGTATATTGCAGGCGTGGATCATAAGTAAAATTTATAGGAAATATTATAAATAAATATAAATTCAATGATTTTGTACGGCAGTCATGTAAATTTGGGGAAATATCGCCATTTCTCATCCCCGGCATCCGCGCCTGGTATTTTCTCATATATGATCTATACGATGGCCTGAGCGATGGCCTTCAAAATTTCCGCAATAGCGGGAGCAAAAAGCGGTATCAGGAACCAGAATCCTCCCTGGGGCGAAACTCCATCGACTTGCTGGGATTGTTGCATCCTATACCTCCTTACAATATTGTTGGCATTAGCCCGTTCCTGAGGTGTCAACTGCAGACGATTTGAGTATCTCTGGTAGAAATCAACCAGTGCCGGCAAATTTCGGCCCTTTGTGTATTGGTCAACCGATGGATTGCCAAATATTGCTATCATTTGTCGGGCCTTGGCCGTAAATTCAGCATCAGTTTGGCAGTGTCCAGTTCCCAAAAGACATCCAATAACAACCAGAAGGCAGCTGAAAGTTATAAAGCGTTATACGACTGGGCTTTTCTTGATTTTAAGCCTGGCTTACCTTAATTGCAATGCAGAATTCATCTTCAAAATTGATGTTTCGCTGTGTACTGTTCGACTGAAACTCATAAGTGATGCACTGAAGGCCTCAGTATTTATAGCGTGTCGAACCGCTTCTTTATCATCTTCGGATGCTGATGTTAGTGTAAATTCCGTGGAAGTGATAAGGAGCTTGAGGAATTGCATTTAAATTTGTAAATTTAAAAAGAAATTTGTAATCTATACTTCCGGATTTACGAACACACACAGATTGTGCAAGCGGCTTTCATTGATTTTTTTAAGCCAGAGATAACATTGCTAATAATTCCTGGGAAAATGTTGGGTGTCGCTGAATTTTTGCAAATAACAATTTCATTTGTGCTAAATCTGTAGATGAATACAGTCTAACTAAAAGACATATGGGTATTTATTAGTTTAAATTATAGGGCACTTAAATGCAAAGCTCACCAAGAAAATATTCCTAAATTCCCGCACAAGACCAGCTGTTTTAGAAAAAAATTTAATTCTAAAAGTTTACTTTCCATTCCCCCGAAGAACTTGTCAAAACTGAGCCTTCGCCCACACATCAACGCATTTCATTAAAAAGCGCTTATGGCCTGTGGATGGGAAATTGAATGAAAATAAGAGTGGCAGAGGTTTTTCCGCATTTTCATTAGCTTGTGGTTCTGTCAGCGCGTTTGATCTGTGAAATTAATGCAGTGCCATGGGCGGCGGAACGAACTGAGCCCTTGTAAATGGGAACAGCTGTCGCGGAGTTCAAAGGCAGGGGGCCATGGACCCCTTATTCCATGATAAATAGAAAGTGACCCTGGGACCCTGGAATTTTGAGCCTCGGTCACGTAGTGCAGTTGGAAAATATTTTGTAATTGAATTTTAATGCACGTCGTTGAGCTGGCAACCTGTCGCATTAGTGTCACAGGATTCTCGTTGCCACAGGATTCTCGGCGAGTCCTCGGGTGCAGGGGCTAATCAGTTGCGCCGCAGACACCTGCAGGACATAATTTCCGAAGCCCAACAAGTGAGCCCGGTCTTATGACGCCTCAACATGCGTTGTCTAGCCATGAAAGTAAATCAAAATGCAGCAGGGCGCAGAAATATTTCAACATGGCTGTGTAGGGTCGATGGGGTAAAGGAGTAAAATGTGTGGCGATCCAAAGGAAGCAGACAGTTAGGTGCAGGCCAGACAGGATATTCGAAAGGGGCAGGAGAAGCTGGCCAACTGGACGCACATATGGCCATTTCCTTCCCCTTCGGACTCCAGCAGTTTTGCTGGCCTGCGGAAATCCCAGGCTACCTTCATTTTATTTAATAAAGCATTTTTCAATTCATTTGATTTATGGCCCAAGCGTGCCATTTTTACACTATTTACCAGACATGGTAACTGAAAATGTATTATTGCATTTTAAAAGGGAATTGTTCAACATCAATTTGCGAGGAACACGTTGTTAGAATTTGGCTTTTATATTTATTTTAAAATTTTAAAGATACTTTATGCAGTTGGGAAATTTCTAACGACCACTGCGCCACGCACAAATTGAAAATAAATTCCGCACTCCACTCTCGTGTCAAATCGGTCCCACCACAACATTATGCCTGCAAATTGTTTTCATTAATTCAATCCGATATTCAGTGAACCAAGGCCCGGGCTCTAAAAATGTTTCCTGACCGGGCATTTCCACCTGTCTGCTGTCCACTCGAGTGTTCAATGGCAAACTGACCCTCCGCCGCCTCGATTTGATACGCTTTATTTGGGCCCAATTTTTTCTGACACTTATTTTCCCTTTTTTTAGTCGACCCCCGAGTTTCGAGATGGGTTAAATGAACCGAACATTTTTGGGGTATTCAATGTGTTTGGACGGACGTCCGCATTAATGCGTGATGCCACATGTGAGGCATTAGAAGCATATTTTATTTATTTAAGTGGCTAAAAAAGTAGAAATGTGGGGGAGAAGGATTGGTTGTGAAGGATTGCCAAGATGTGTAGCTCTCTGAATTTTTTTCAAATAATATTTATTATAAATTAAACTTAATTTTAAAAAGGTATAATTGCCATTTTGTAATATTAATAAGAATGTAACGTAACACTTTCAGGGCTGTTTTGTCGACCCCCCTGCAAAGTAGAATTTTAATTTAATTTAATCTAAAAATTTAAATGTTTCACGGGCTATCAATCTGTTGTGGCGCCATCTAACGGCGTTTGACAAAAGCTAAAATTTTACTTGTACTCTACATGCAAACACTTACTTTGTGTAAACTTACATGCTGGTTCGAGTCCAGGGAACTAATCGTGTAGACGGCGAATTCGAAGGAGACAAAGCGAATTTAAATTAAATGGAGCGAATTCGACCAATGTGAAGTGAATTTAACGAAAGATTATTATTTAAGGCAAACTTCTTGGTTTCTTTAGGAAATTATTATTAAAATGTATTTTGTAAAACATGTTGGCAAACTTACTTTATAAAAATGTGAAAGCTTTTTTTTTCTAAATTATGCCCAATCGGAAAGTTCTACAATAACATTGTGTAAACCAGTATAAAATTTATACACATCACCTTTGTTTTTATGTTTTTATTACTTTATGATAATGGTTTTAACTTTTCTCAATTGCATTACGTAAAACGTAATAAAGCGAACTGCTTGCCTCGAAAAACAAAATTGCAACAGTTGTCAGGCTTAGCAAATCAAAAACCAGTTGCAGATTTCCGTATGCCGGAAAATCAAATAGGTAAAACTGCAGTCTCTGTGGCTCTAGTAACTATTTTTTATCCAACCTCACCCACGGCATGTGCCGAGCAATTAAAAGCAACTCAAAGCGTGTGGCAAGGCAATCGTAAGCCTTTAAGCCATAACTGACCTTTCCACAAACAAAGTTGCGCATATATACTTGTATCTGTTGTGGCTCAGACATGTCCAACGGCGGCTGAGACTCGGATTTTGCCTTAATCGTTTTCCAATAACTTTGCCATAGCTGCAAGATATTTATCTCAATTATTATTTAAGGCCGCAAGAGGCATTTTTGATTATATTCTTTGAAATAGCTGGTGTTAATTGACTGAATGTCTAGGAAATTTCTAAGAAATATCATAGTTTATTTATTAAATTATTGTTTGCTGATATGGTCCAAATATTTCTAAAATCAAAAAACAAATTCTTCTTTTTATTTTGAAAAGACAAATTGCTAAATTTCTTCTTATTTCCATAAATCCACTTCCTTTATTTTATTAGGAAGATAGACAGCTGTGACCTTCCCCACTTTTCACCCACGATAATTAATATTTTTCCAGTGCAAATCAATGATTTACTGACTGATTGGTATCCCCCTCAAAAGCACTGTTTTCGCAAACGCTTCGAGAAGATTAATGAGCTCTGGAAAAATAATGAAAGGCAATAATAATGCTATGTGTGCAATTAATGAATTTCCATCGTCGCACACAAGATTTTCAGCAACTTGCCAGCCAATCAAGTTTCGCTTTTCATTCACCAAACACTTGTAAACATTTTGCATTTTTTTTTTATCGTTTATTGCAATAGCACATAACCAGCCCGCCCTTGGCTCAATTATTTTTGGAGTTTAAACCGGGCCGACAAACGCCCAAACAGTGCGAAACGAGTTTCAGTTTTTGGCCGCTGAAATAAGAGTAAATGCGAATCGAATTTCGAACTTGAAGATACTCTCTTAAACGCACAGCTGTATTTCTCTCTATCCACGGAATTGTGGCCAAAAGACATTTGTTGCTTTGGCAGACAGTTTGGCTGGGAGTGGAAGTGGGTGTGGGTGGAACTGAGTGAGAGAACTACCCCCGCAACCAACCCACTGGGCTGTCGGAAATTCCCTTACTCTGCTCCCGACCATGATTCATATCATATGGTGGGACTTAGGACCGAGAACTCAGAACTCGGGGAGTCAGGACTCAGGACAAAGCCAAAAAAAAAGAGAAGAAAAGTGCCAAAGTAAGACTAAAGCAAAAATATGTAAGACCGCTTTTTATATGCACGTACTAGGGAACCATAAACCCGAATAACTGTCGTCCAAACAGAAAGGAATATGACA